CATTATGCATCAAAGACATATATATATATATATATATGTGTGTGTGTGTGTTTGTGTGTGTGTGTGTATGTATGTATATATTCCGGTCAGGTCAAGCTTAACCCTGCTACTGGTAACATGTAACCTAGTATGACCTGATGAATGTTTAGTTGGCATCCAAACCACTTCCTTCACTAGCTTTTCTGCAAGTGAGGACAATGGCATGTCACTCACAAGATGAAAAACAAGAGCTATAAAAGGTGAGACAAGTTTCTTATAGGAGCTATTGGCTAACATGTATATATATTTAAGAAGATATTGAAGTCAACATCCAAGGCCTGATGATTGCATATAAAAATTAAACAGCCTGTCGCCTCTGAGTGTAGACTTCAGTGTCCCCTTTTATATTTACATACACTCTATCCCTGATATTGAGCACTTTAACCCATAAATATAGCATACCTTAAAACGTAGGCTAGGATGGGGTCTCAAACCTTGAGCAGCAACTTTCTAGAAATGGTGTCTCAATAAAAACACTCAGACTACTGTGTCTCAGGTGGGTGTTAGGAATAGCATCAAATATTGTAAAACCATGCCTCAAACCATTATGACAAATCCTCTGTCAAGCAGGACCCACCTTGCTTTGTGCAAGATTAATCCTGGTCCTGCCTCAACAAAAAACACTTCTATATATGTGATAGGATAAAAAACAAACAGGCAATGTTTATAAATCTAACATGTTACTTTTATCAAAGCTTCATTAGAGAATGAGATATGAAAAAGAATACTACATTGACAAATTAGAATTATTATACACTTACAGAAATTATACGTATAAATGCTTCTTTACAAAGCAAATACAGATGTCATCTGCTTAACAAATGAAAATCAAGCAACACAAAAATAAAAATATCGGAAAAATTTTTTCCCATATCTCATTCTCTGATGAAGCTTTAATAAAAGTGAAACATGTTAGATTTCTAAATGTTTCCTATTTGTTCTTTTTATTATCATTCTATTGGATTCTGATCAATATTTGCTCTACATTTAATCCCAACTTATATATATATATATATATATATATTATACAAGAAAAGGCTTTCTTTTTGTAAAGTTGAGAAATAAGTCATAAATCTTATTGACTTGTATTAGAAATAACAACTAATTAACTTGCTATGTGAGTTTGAGTTGAAATTTACCATGTTAGTGCCAATTAATACTAATATTTTTGCCAATTTATCAGTTACATTCCTCACAAAATCCCCTTTTTTAAATTCCCACCCTGTCTTCATTTTGTCCTTCATACACTATTATGACTTATATATCTTTTCTTGTGATGCTATCTATTTTGGGAATCCTGGCAGATTTGTTCATGGCTTTCATCAATTAGCAGAAAAAACAATAATGTTGCCTTGCACTGAAGGTGTTAATATTCACCTACTAAAAGCTATCTAAGGTAGTTGCATACCTAAATCTAGGAAATTCTTTTATATTCATCACGGGAGCTGAATAACAGATTACATAATTGGTACATTTCCCCATTAAACAGAATGGGCATATTTCTCTCACTTAACATAACTGGCACATTTTTTCCCATTATAAATAATTTCCTCATTAAACACAATTGGTACATTCTCTCCCCCTGTCATTAAACATAATTGTTAGATTGCCCCATTAATGTTGCCCAACTGTCTTGTATTACTTACCACGTTGCTTGTGAATAGTAGAAGAGTAAGATGATTCTGGTTACAGGTAAAAACAAGAATAAAGTGTGTCCACTTGAACTCGATCTTTACAAATCACTTGTTTGTTCTTTTTTTTTCTTTAGAATATACACTCATTCATATTGTATTTCAAACTGATAAATCTCCAGTTATTTTTCTAGCATTGATATAAATAAACTTAAAAAACAAATAGTTTATTATTAGTCATTCAGATAGAAATTAGATCTGTCTGAATTTGTTAATGAGTAACAAAAAAAAATCTGAACAAACTGAAACTGTAGATAATGAAAAATAGGTTAAAAAAGAATTTATAGTGATTTAAAAAAGATAATTACTAAATATCAGTTTTTGGGTTCGAAACAAAGTATTTTTGATTTTCAGTTGTTTTATATAGAAACTGGGCCCTCAAGGTTGCATAAAAATTGTGCAGTAGTAGTTTGAATGTTCATGGGGGTGAGGTTTATTTAAATGTTGGTGATAACTTGCTGTTTCTTCACGTTTATCTATGTTTAAATTTTTTATATAACCTAAGATAAATAAAATTATAGATTACAGGTGCAATTTGGGAACAATTTATTTATGGATATTTTTGGCTGTTGAAATTGTCAAAATCAAAACTGTTTTGATAACTAACAAAAAAAAAAGATTCCAAAAGAGTTCATTATGAAAATAAAATAACAGAACATAAAAGACAAAAATAAAAAAAAATTGCATGATTAAAATACAATTATACTTTAGTAACATTACTTTTTTTTCATATCTCTGTCTGTACTTTCCTTCTCACTCAGTTTGAAAATTTTTCTAGTCTTTTCCAATTAGAAGTTATTTTTTCCCAGATGATAGTAATTTCTCTCAGTTGCAATGCTTCAATATCCTTGACAATGGGTCATGCTGAAGAAGTATTTCCAACTTGATCAGAAACTGACGACAACACAAATTGATGGAAACTGAGTCTGGGGGGAAAGCTCAACTGGTGGAATAAAAACCATATTATTATGATTTGTAATTTCACAAGAGGTTGAGATCATTCTTGATTTTCAATTTTGCTGTCATAAATAAAATAATAATAATGATGATAATGATGATGATAATAAATAAACAAGATCAAAATTTGCACCAATCAAAACTTAAAGAAACTTTGTTTAATCTGTGGAAACTTTTAGAATATTTAATCATGGTTTTAAAATCTGGATCAAACTTTCCATAAGAGATTTCTATAGGAGCTTTTGTCATTATGTCTTGGAACTCAGCTCAAAACTGTTTTTGCACTGAAAGCATTTTTACAGAACTGAGTATAGTTTTGAGATTCCTGCTCAATTTTTATATTTGAGCTTGCAAAAATTTTTTATGCTTCAATACTTTTTTTTCTGAATTTGGCAAAAGGATATTTTTCCTAAAGCCATTTCTTAAAAATAATAATATCTGACAAAGAATTTGTTTCAATGATCAAATTTTCCAAAGAATATTTTAGATTTTCTTTCCTTATTTTTCTGTTTGGGTTTGATTGTTTCTAGAAAACAAGATAACTAGTAGATAATGAATAAACCTTACTATTTGTTGAATAGCAGCAAAAAATATCTTTTTTTTACAACTTGAGCAAGAATATTTCATTTGATCATGGTAGACTGACTGGGTGTTAACTGCTCAAAACTAACTTGCTAATCCCATTTTCTTACTAATATAAAACTCAAGAGTCACTCAAGGTAGAGGGTTATTGAATGAATTGTGTGATATGACTGTAAGAGGAGGTGGTAGGAAGTGATTATTATAAGGATAAGGAGGATGGCTAATGATTGACTCTTGACTTGAAGAGGTTAAGTCTAATGTTTTCAGGGAAGCAACCATATGGAAGTTTGTTATACACAGCATGGGTTCTTAGGAAAAAGATATCAAGTGAAACGTTTTGATTTCTTTTGGAATATGGAGGAAATGAAGGTTATTTGATTTTGTGGAGGTAACACAGTGTATTTTTACTGTAAAGGTTTGAACTGATGGATCTAAAAATTAAACTCATAGTGAAAGATGTCTTCCAAGAGCTAAGAAATAAAAAGTTTTTATTAAAAACAAAGAAAAGAGTACTGAATTGTAAATGTAATATCAGTCCAAATAACAGCAGTGAATGCTGGACAATCTCCTTACAAGACTTGTGGCAAAAGAAATGTGTTTCTACAGAAGCATGCTAAAAATAGTACAACAAGGAAATTTTTAGAAAATGTAATATTAATTCTACTTTTTCTGTTTTTTTCAGTGCTGACAAACCTCAGTCCAAAAGTCTAACCAAATATAATTTTTTTCAATCCCTGCATGGTCAGGCTGAGTACTTTTCAGTACCTCCACATAAATTACCCCACTTAATGTAAATATTAATATGGTTCTTTCCATAATAAAAATGTAATATCAGCCATTCTATATAGCAGTGGGTGCTGGACAATCTCCTCACAGATGAAAAAACTTGAGACAATAGAAATGTGGTTCTACAGAAGGATATTGAGAATATCATGGACTGAACATATGAGTAATAAGAGAGAAAATGGAAACAAAAATAGCACTGATATTTATCACAAAGAGAAAGTTGAAATTTCTAGGTCACTTAATGAGGAAAGAGGGCTTGGAAAATTTGATAGTCAGAGGACATATTGAAGGCAAGAGAGACAGAGGAAACAGCAGGTAACCTACCTTGAATAAATGGTTAGCAGAACAGGGATTAGAAGAAATAGTAAAAAGACAAACTAGACTAAAGGCTAAAAAGGACAGGAAATTGTGGAGAGTCCATTTACTGAAGGAATACAGCACATAGAGGAAAAAGATAGGTTTCTGACATTGCAACTGTGAAAATGAGGCTGCACAGTGGAAAAAATGTCATCTCCCATAACCCTGAATAAATGATTTTGAAGGTTTAAAAATGAGCATCACCTACCCAGATATGACAGCAGTGCTTCATTTTGGGGCTTAATCTGACTCTTGTAAAGATAAAGCATGGAGGAAAGCTTTCTTATCCTTCAAACACTCATCTGCTTTTGCTAACAAAGACTGACCCAGATTCTTTTCAAATTATTTGATTGACTGAGTCATTCATTTTCTATGCCTTAACAAACCATTAAAGGTTATTTAAAGCCAGAAAATATTTTTAGATTGTAAGAATTTTTTTTAATGATTTAGTGATACAAGTCTTATTAATTAAAGGAGAAAAGTGGATTCATACCTTACCCAAGGGTATTTGAATGTAAGTGAATATAACAAACCCAATTGGAATTGGAACTTGGCTCTCTGATCAACAATCCACCTGCACATCCAAGTTTACAGCACCTGGTATTCTCAAGTGGTTACCCATCTAGGTACTGGCCAGACTCAATGTTGCTTAACTTCAGTGATTGCATGGGAATTGGTGTTCCAACGTGATATGGCAGTAAACTTTTCAAATTAAAGAGAGGATTATTTATGCTACTGTTTGATCAAATAACTGATTACAAAATAAATGAATAAAGAAATATAGATTCTGCTGAAATCATGATTTGGCTGAATTGATTCAAAATTCAAATTTCTTTTTGTTTTTCAGCAATGAAACATTCTTACAAATCTTGATTTGATAGCTACAACAAAATAGATTGGCTTTTTTTTTTATTTTAATCTCGCCAAAAACGAATGTACTAAAGTCCATATTTCTCTTGAAAATTTTAGATCAATGACAGAAAAAAAAAGTGAGAAAAAATTTGTTCTTTCACTAATGAAATAAAACTGTCTATTTCCCAAGAGTAGAATTGATAATCAATCATATTGAGTAAATATAAGCCCATAAAAGGAAATCCAGTTTAAATATCAATGAAAAAAATATTACAAACAAATAATAGGAATCTATTAAGATTACCATTATAAGTATTAATGTTATTAATAATGAAGACAAACATTACTATTAATATTTTCACTGTCTTATAAATACAAGCATTTACATTTTTTTTTCTAATGATATTTCATATTTTATATTTCTTCTAACAGAATTCTCTCATGAGTGTTGTTCAAGTGACATAGTCTTTTTCAAGCTGTAATATTTTTTACAGTATTTTTGCTATATTAAGCAGTAATTTGGTTTTTATTATCTAGTCTAAATCTTTGAAGAACTTTCCTATTGGCTAAGCAAGAACAGAAATAGCAGTTACCATTGTGGTTCTCCTTATTAATTTTGCTATCGTCATTCTGTTTCAATCAGCATAACAAATTCTTAATGATATTACTTATGGGAATAGGAGTGGTAGTAACATTAGTAATAGAGGAAGTGAGTACTGAAAACTTCTCAGCCTGACCAACTTTCCAAAAGATTCAGTATTTTGATGTTTGGTAGCATCATGGTTATTGACAAGTGGAATTGGCAAGCAATTTTCAAATTCCACTCAGTTCTCTTTCATTCACTTTGTACTAATGACCATAGGGAAAGATATGCATCCATCTTCCTCTAGCTATAGGTTAAATAACAGTAGAGACAAGGCTTTCTTGCCTTGGGTGGAAGCCAGTCTAGGAGAAGAAAAACTCTGAATTCAAACATGCAGAGGGCTGTTTGGAGAATTTTGTAGCACCATTTCTCTGCTATCAGTTATTCAAAAATGCATGGCTGATTCTCAACAAGCCTTTGCTATTATAATCGAACAATCTGTGTGGGAACCTAATGGTTCAGTTTTAAACTGTGTGGGTAGACACATGATTCAGTTTTAAACTGTGTGGGCAGTCTAATGATTCAGATTTAAACTTAACTGTTTTCATAGGTAGAAGAGAGAGTACATGTATTCACTAAAATACTGATTTTGGAAAGTGGATCAGGCTGAAAACTTGCCAATACTGACCTCATAGTTGTAGTTATTGCTTTCTTATGACAAACAAGTTAGGAAAAGGAGATTTTTATTAATGTATAATGTATCATTATTATTAGGTCTTATACTGTTCCAGGTCCATGGTGCTGTAATGGTGATATAAGCCATCAGTATTTGTTATTTTTATATATATATATATATATATATATATATATATATATATATATACAGGGTGTTCATAAAGTTTAAAAAATTTAACCTTATTTGTATTTAAACATGTATCAATATGGTGATTTCCTTTTGTCTTTCAATGATGATGTTATTAAGCTTATCAGACAATATGATAGAAACTTACTTAAAATAAATAGACAAAACTTGTCTATATTATTTAATAAAACATGAATTGATGCATTAATATATATATATATATATTTAAAGACATTTTTATGTTTAGCATTCTTTTTATAGATACAAGTATTTAAGTAAATAAATGTTTATAATAAACAGTATTAAATAACATTTACTGGCCTGAATGTCTGAGAAATTTTCATAGTAAAATATTCGTCCTTCGACAGGATTTGAACCTGTATCCTATATGGAACCATCATCATACAGCCTGACATGTTTTTACCTCTTGGGGTATATAAAGGATCGTTGGTTGGAAAGAAAAAAAATTAGAAAAGTTTATAAGCAGTAAATTCGATTTTGCCATCCAAAGCGATCTTTTAGAGTTAAAAAATAAAGGCACGTCAGGCTATATTATTTTTTCTGTATAAATTCAGTTTTCTTACAAGGACGAAATATTTTATTTATTGAAAATTTTTCATACTCTTAACCAGTAAATTTTATTTAACCATTTTTTATAAACAGAGCAATTAGTTTAAATACTTGTATCTAAAAGAATGTTAAAACATAAAAATGTCTTGTAACTAATTGTCATGTTTTGTCAATTGCAATTTATATATATATATATATATATATATATATATATATATATATATATATATGTATATAATCTAACTATTATTAAAAGGATAAGTGCAAATCTGTAGTTATAGTGGATAAAATGAGAAACTGGAGAGCCAAATTCAAATTTCAGTGGAGTCATTACAGTTATTGATGCACAAATACCCCTTGCTAGCTATGGATAAATAGCACGACAGACTCCATCTGATAGCCTTTGTTGGCAACCAGTCTAGGTGAAGGAATTTAAGACCAGTCTGGTGACCCGTTTAAAACCAGTCTACAGGCAGCAGCACATATGGTGCTTTTCAGACCTTTATGAATTACAGGACTCATAACCAAAATTATTAAAGGCTTTCACAGAACATGTCATAATTTTGCAGGGAGATCAGCTTATTATTTAACAACAACAGAAAACCAGTCCACCACTTTATGTCTAGCTGTCCAAAAGAAACTTATTAGTTTATCGTTGTCAACAAAATTGACATATATTTTGTCAAGTTTAACTATTATTAAAAGGTTATATATACATATATATATATATATATATATATATATATATATATATATATATATATATATATATATATTATATTAATATATACTAATTCTACAAAGGGATCAGTTTATTACTTCATAACGAGTCCTCAATTTTATATCCATAATGTTCATATATTTATATAATGGCATATTTTTTGCATATCTTTTGAACAGCAGTAAAGATTTATCCTCTTTTATGTTTAGGATTAGGTTTCTTCAAAAGCCACTTCTTTCTCTTTCACTTCCAGTGGCCACTTGAGTCTTGATGGCATTATCACCTTGCTTGGGAGTGGTGCCTATAACTCTCACTGTAACTCTCTACCTCTAGTGGCTCTTGGGCATGTTGAATATCATTGTAAAAAAGATTTTCATGGGTTAATTTTCAAATATTTTTAAAATATTGTTGTACTTTAAATATTATGGTTGTACTTTATTCTTTTACACAGTCAATTTTTTCACCTCCTGGCTTTGTAAACACCTTAGAACAGACTCCTATTGTCATAAAAAAGACACTGCCACCTGGTGTCCCCAGTGCAAGGGATATAACCCTAGTGCAAATTAAACTCACTTGATGTTTGATATTATGAGCAGTTTCCTTTTAATTTTGAGCAACAATTTTATAGCCTTTTATAGCATATGCCATGGAAAGATGAATGAAGCAGTGCAAATATTTTCTCAGCCCATTGTACCAAGTTAGAGTTTACTCTCTCTTAACTGCAATCAGATTAATTCTGTATAGGACCTAAGAGGCTTAATTTACATTCAATCTATTTGCATTATGGTACTCTACCAAAGGTAAAACGATTTTGAATGTTTAGAGATGCACTTCAAGAACAAGTCTTAAAGCAAGACTGGGTACAATGGGTAAGCATTCCTCTGAAACAATAGCAATCATGGCTCAGGGCAGATAATCTTAGAGTATAAGTATCAATCAAAAGTAGTTTGAATATACGTAGTTTCTTTGATCGGAAGAACCTACCAGAAAGATACCTAAGTGATGCAATTCTAAACTTGAGGGTGTCCCACTAGAGAGATAACAGATTCCTGTATTATAAGTGGGCCTGAGTTGTCTTATTGAGTTTTAACTTACTAGCTAAATACTTGTTCTCCGAGTAGAGAAAAGTTGTAGATATTCTTTTACTTCTTTAAAATTCCTGTATAAACAAGACAGATATCTTCTAAAATTTGCTTAGTACTGTTTCAAGTGGATCTAATTAAACAGATTAATTTGACATATTTAGTTATTTATTGTGTTCCTTACATTAAATAACTCCACTATCTCTTGCTTTTGAGTTTATACATTTCTTATAGACTATGACAATCATCTTTTAAATATTTGAAATTACAAAATAATATAATGTTAATTTGATTGGGTTTGTAGTATTTAACTGGGGATGTGCAAATGTAATTTGAAAGAGTTGTTAATTTTTTTCTCCTTTTTTTCTTTCTTTAAATGAAAAAGAAGATGCAAGTGTAAGAGTGACATGCCCTCCCCCACCAAAATAAAATAAAGAAGGGTTATTAATGCAGTACTGCCCAAGTCTTTCCTCCCTATTCCCAACTCCATGGTGAGAAAAAGCTATCCCAGAATTCTCACTTTGCTCAAAAGTCACCAACTAAAAAGAATTTTGCCATTCCTCAAATGGACAAATCTAATCATTTTTTAATGTCATGTGTGTTTTCTTTTTTTTAATTTATTATTTTTTGTCTGGATTTTCTGCAACGTCTTCCTACCTTTTTACTTGAAAGTTTTATTTATGTTTTTTATATGTTTGTACTAAATTGTGTTAACACAATGTTAATTTGATTGTGTTCATAGCATTTAATGTAGGTTTTTTTGTTTTGGAGATTACTGATTGGGGCTATGTAAACACAGTTTGAAAGAGTTGGTATTTGAACTTATGCTAACTTAATACTTAACTATCTTATTTTATTTTTATTTTTAATTTTTTTATCCCACACATGCACAGGTATGTATACATGTCTGTACTGGGTCAACTGTGGGCGGCAGCTTGACTTTCCAGATGAGTTATCTGAAAGAAAATTTGTTCTTTGAAATAATATATCTGGAAGACAAAGCTAGGATTGTTTCTTTTTTTTTTTTT